CCAAAGCTCTGACCTGGTGAAACTTTAATTTACTGGTTTCTATTCTTATCTGTATGTTGAGCAATATGAATGAGTATTGATAAGAAAACTAAGCAACTCTTCGAAAAAACGAAAATATATCTTAAATGAGTAAACGATTCTAATTGCATATAATAGAACTTGAATGCCGCTACCCTCTCTTCCCTCAAATGAGGGAAGGTGAAATTCTCCTAATAGGTAGGAGTCAGTGTTGGTCACCTTTATAAGTCCAGTTATTTTTGACTGGACTAGGACTATAAGTCCAGTTACTGGAAATTATAAGTCCAATGGTCCAGTTTTATCAAGTCCAGTTAGTAGGAGCACATGAGATCTGGAAGCCCCAGAACTGGAAATGATTTCCAATACCTCGTATTTCCAATTTCCTTCACTTTATTATCGTTGCAGACAATTGTCGAGAATCTCTAAAACAAAATTTCCAAATCTTCACGGTTGTTTCTGTTTTCAGCTTCGTGATAATTACCAAGGCCACTTTTTAGTTCGACCCAAACATTCTCAAATTCCTCGACATCATCCATAAATTCAAAATATTTTTATAAGCGCAAAATGTAAGAAAAATCTTGTGTAGTCATACGCGTGTTATATGTAAAAGTAAAATAGGAATATGCGCAATTATTATTCAATGTGCGCCGCGCCTATTGCGCAACCCCAATTTATATCACTGATCCAGACCATCTACACGAGTTTTGCTTTGATTTTGGTAACATTAATATCAAAATCATTTATTATTAAAATTGATTTAGTAATTTGTTTTAAGATGAAAACTTCTTAATGTAATAAGTTTTTTTAATATAATTTTACAAAATGAAATTTTTTAAAGAATTAATTCGATAATTTGTATGGATGATCACACTTTATTTTACGAAATGGAATGAATATAATGAATATGAAAATTATTTCTGTATTTTATTATTTTATTTTTTTATTAATTTAATTCAATTTTTCCCATCTAAATTTTCGAATCATGTCCATAAATTTATAGTATGATCTGCACCTGAAGATATTATCCATGGCTGCGTTGGATGAAATTCGCAGTCCAAAACGCCTAAATAAAAATATAAATTCAAAAATTATTCGAAAACAAGGTTGCAATAAGTTTTTATATCTTGAAAATAGTTACCTAGGCTATTCACGACTTGATGTCCATCTTTTAAAATCTTTACTGGAACAATTAATGGATTTTGAAGTAAATCATTATACACCATACCATGAAAGATTTGTATTAATCCGTCATCGCTACACGACGCAAATAACGGTAACCTTTTATGATAGGTCACGTTACGAATTGCTTTCGTATGATAACTACAATATTTTTTTTTTTTTTTAGGGAATTAAGATAAGTGAATTTTTTAATACAAATTTACCAAAAAATACAAACAAATACCGCAAAGTTTTGTATGGTTTCGAAGATAGGTCCAAATCAAACCAGCATAATTTCTTATCATAGCTGCCTATTATGATATTATCGCCTATACGTAGGAAATGAAACTGTATATTAAATTCTATAGAATGGCTGTTAGTTTTCGGTTTAATTTTTAAACCCTTACCCATTGGATGAATGTCGAGGCTAGAAATCCATTTAACCCCCGCTTGCAAAGTTTTTGTCAATTCCTGTTTCATTAAATTATAAATTCTAACATATCTTTGCGTCTACAAAGGGAAAAATGAATTACGAAATTGTTTATTCATCATATAACGGTTCTAAAAAAAAGAAAATATATTTACTGCAACAAAGAACAAGGGTTTAATAGGATGAAACATAGCGGATTGAATAATTCCTCTAGTCTTACGGAAAGGCTGTTGAGTTTGATGCTTGGTAAGATGGTGAATTAGAATGCCTTGATTACCAGCTGATGAAATTAAGGAAGTTAAAATATTTTTTTTAAAAAAACAGAAACAAACTCAATAAATTGATTGCATAAATTTACCATCCGGCGCAGTAGTCGAAAAATAATCTCCTTTCTTATGCCAAGCAATTTGTTTAATTGTCTGAATTAACAATAAAATTAATATTAATTATACTTAATGAGAATAAAAAATTCATTAGAATAATAATTAATACCTTATCATGAACGTGTTGAATAATGACGAGAATCCCATTCAAATTCTGTTGATTAGTTGGCTTTGACCAGTCAACCAATTTGGATTTTTGTTCTACTTTAGATTTTATGTTAATCAACGGGAAAGTATGGATAATTTGTGAATTGACATATCGGAAATCATTTCTATAAAATTACCATTCTGTTGAGTGTTATCAAATCCTGCTGTAACATACTGAGTAGTTGAAATTGCAACTTCTTCTTCACAAATACATGTTGGCGAGATAATGCCAACTTTATTTGTACTAATAAAAAAATTAATATCAATTGGGAAACAAATTTGTGAATTAACATAATAGGCAATCTTGCGATATACAAAAACTTACCAAGAAAATGCAAATGCACAAACTTCCTTAATTGGGCACCAGGCAACTGAATGAACAATATCCTCAATTTCCCACGTTTTAACACAGCGACCGGTTATTATTTCCCACAACCTGATAGTTTTATCATCTGAACCTGAAATTAACCAAAGTCCTGTAGGATCGATTGAAATGCAACGCACACGACCAGTGTGTGCATCATATGAAAGTGTAAGAGATGTAGGAAAAGGCTGAAGGTCTTTAGGATTTGGAAGTTTAGGAATAAGTGATTCTGGATCAATATTAAGCTAAATGAAAATGATTAAAAACAGTTTAATAAGAAGTATATCAAATAAGCGATGGAGTATTCATTAAAATTAACTTACTTTATTCCTTCGAACACGTGGTGCAAGGTATAAATCAAGGCACCTATCAAATCGCTCCTGAATGAACCGATTATACGCAGGTACAGCTCTTAGACACGAATACCTAAAATATAAAGGTTATAAAATTAGTTTGGTCAAAATATAATTACGTTATAAACATTAGTGATAATAATGATTACTTTTGAGGTATATAATTTTTTTCTCTGTCTTCAGGATCCATTTCTTCCCACATTTTCTTTTCTTTTTCGGTTAGCAAGTATTCTGGAGGTGGATTATAACTTTCCTCATGGTCAGGTAACTTCGTTTTTGGAGCGGGAATAAGCATAGGATGTTCCTCATGCGGTTGGTCGGTATCATTCCATAAATTATAAAACCGTGGTTTCTGTATCTGGGTTTTTCCAGGAACAATGTGTCCTTGGCGAATGGCGCGTACTAGCTTCATAATCTTTACGGGTTGAATTGTGAAAAGCTTGGTGAGATATTCATGCTAAAAGTTCATGATAAAAATTAATCTTACACGTTTTGCTTCCCATTTTGAAGGGATAAACCGACGTTTAGGTTCAGGTGTAGCATTTAATGGCATGACTTCTGTTTTACTAGTGAACCATTCAACCGTCGGCTCATAAGGATCATAATCTTGTTTAGGGTATGAACCCATTTGAATTCGATGGATGATTTCTAATTCTTCATTAGTTAATTTCACGTTTTGTTGTGTGAGGTTATCTTTGACAGAAATCCTGTAAAGTGAAAAAAAGAATAGGTTTTTTAAATTTTTTTTTTTAGAAAAAAAATTAGTGAATATAAAACATTTCTTACCATGAATCCGGATCTTCCATATTCTCCAAAAACTTATCCAGTTCATCGCCTTTAGCAGGTTTCATAATCTTTTTTCCATCGATATTATAGCCAATATGTGGATAATCATCATACCATTCCATAGGTATATTGCCAACGGTATTAGTTGGCTGATTCAATGATAACTTGTTAGTTGAATAATATTCAGTTTGAAATTATAAAAAAAATCTTTTGACATACATTTTCGGTCGAAGAATCGCTATCATACACTGGATCAATTTCGGGTAATATTTTGCGTGGATTACCATCTGCACCTATGACATAATTTTCCTGAGTATTCCTAATATAAAATTGGATTGGTAACTTTCTCTAAAGACATTAAGTCTAAGATCGAATGATACGATTAAAATAAACATACTCTGATTCTGATGAAACATCATCAAAAACTTTTTCAACATAATCTCTCGAATCTAAATCATCATCGTCTAGGCTGTCTCCAGCGATATACTCATCATTATCACTCTCTCCTGATGTTCCATTATTAAAATTATCATTTTCTTCGCCACTATTCATTATATCATGTATAGATTCTTCATTTTCCGAGTGTTGTTTGAAAAAATCAATCTCTTCCTCATCTTCCTCATCCGAAAGCATGTCAATTTTTAAGTTTGTAAGGAAATTCCTGTCTTTGCTATTTTCTTCATGAGACTGCTTTGTTATTGATGAACTTTTAGAGATAAAATTTGTTGTTTTCTTATTTCTTTTTTTTGTATTTTTTTCAGAATTTTCCTCCGTTATTTTCATCGACATGGATAATTAAGATCGAATAAATTGAAAAAAGTTTTTGTTGATAATCTAATTAATCAGTTAATCAATTTGCTTAAATTTAATTGGCTGTATGACTTCATATAACTGGTCGGTCGGTCAAAGGCCGTTGACCGACCACGACCGACCGACCGTTACCATCCCTAGTATAGCTACTAGTAAATAAGTTAATTATTTCCAATTTTTACACATCGAGTTCTACGATATTGTTACCGATCGTTATTCCAGAAAGCGGATCGGCTAACTTTAAAATTCCAAAGCGCTTTCTCGTTAGAGAAGTTGATATCGAAAAACCTATCCCCTCAGAAGAAAGTGGCAACTTGGAAATTTATTTAAAATTGTGATGGGGACACTTATGATTATTATCTAACACAACTTTTTGGCTTATATCGGCCTTTTCAAATAAAAGTTTATGATAAAAGTCATTTTTCTTTTATACTTTAATTCCCTTGTTTGGCAAATGCAATTTGATCATTATAATCAAATGTAACAAATGGGAATCAAAAGCATTGATTTGAGATTTATGTACAAAATTAGGGAATAAAAAATTAAAGAGAAAATGCAGTGATATAACCTATTGAATAAAATTAAATGCATCGAGGAAATTGAGTTAATACAGCAATCCAGATTGTAGATACGATTATCGTTATTACTGAGGCTAAAAGGGAGGATATTAATCAGGGGGGTTGGTCATAATGCAATCCAGTTACAAGAAACGCACATACCAATGAGGCTATACGTGAAGATGGAATGTATGGTATTATTTCGACAGGGGTCACAGAGTCATAATTAATACTAGCGATTGCAATGACGATGATAAATGGGAATATAGAGGTATTATTGAGTTCGTAAACACCATTTACTTTTTCCTATTAACGAGAGTATTTCGACAGAAGTCTTATAATTGAAAAATTCAAGAACTTGTTCATGCAAATTTAAGTGAGTGTTATTCCGTTATGTACTACGAATAAAGTTCTACATTTGTATTTATTTTCGCGTGTTTTATCATTATCTTGTAAGGTTTCGTTTATCTCAGTTTCTTTGAGAGTTTATATATCTTTTATCCTTGCTGATAGACTCTTTATGTTATGACGAAATACAGTAAATGACAATCATAGTAACAAAAAAGTAATTTATCAGTACGCGGAAGGAAATATCATTACTCAGAATGCGATTCTCCGGTTAGGAATTTATTAAAACCTGTTACGTAATTCCGGTTGTATCGTTGTTCTTAAATCCGTACGACATACTTTATACGACTTCACGCCCAAACGTTATAAAAGAAAACGTATCGCAGATGTCGTGACCTTTATCATACCTCATCAAAAGGATTGTGTGGTTACAGGGATGGGATCATTTGTGCAAAAGTTTAGGAGGTACCATTTTAAAGTTAGCATCGGTTTAATTTTCGTTGATTTTTCGATCTTATGAAGAAAAAGTAATGCGATTAATGAAAAATAGTTGTGTATTCAATTCGTGAGAAAAACATTTGATTCTATTTAAACTCAAGTAAAATTTTGATCTAGGTCATGTGTTTGATAGCAATACTATAAATTTCATTACTCTGCTAGCGTATCAATGCTTGTAATGAGCTTCCTTTCAAAAAAAAAAAACACTTTTTATCTATCGAATTTGTGATTGGTTTTGGAAAGATGATAATTTATTAAAAAAATATTTGCGAGTGAGATCATGTGATTACGGAGAACGATGATTAAAGCACGAGCAATATTTACTAGATAATCAATCTTCCTGTAAATGCTGGGGGGAAGGGTCCGATTTCGCGATCTTCATAAGAGGGTCGCCTTTATATATATATTTATACCTACCTATATATGTGCAAACGTGATCAATTTCCCCTCTGAATATGCCATTCAAGGTAGCTTTATGCCATTCTCTAACATTATATCCGAAAAAAATTTTTCCAAGGCCTCGGCAAACTTATAATAATAAGTATCATTCGAATTGTAAAATTTACAATTGTCCCATATCTTTTGAACATCAATAGCGAACTCTTTAAGAGTTAGGTATTGATTATTTTCCATACGTTTTCTGACGGTGGAAAAGTCCATGGGTTCCTTGATGATATCATAATAATCTGGGACAGTAATACGATCAACGGGAAGTTTAAATGGCCAAGCATTTTTATGATTCTCTAAATCTTCCATAACTTTCAACATGGTAAGGTAACATGCCTTGTATTTAGCCGTTTCTTTTGCTCTTCTTTCCAACTCTGGAGTCCAACCGGATTCTTTAATACCCGGTACAGACATTGGGTCTATTGATTTTGATCCGTTTTTGAAACATTGTAAACCTGGGTAGATGATGGGAGTAATAACTGTTTGCGCGATTTTTTCTTTTACCGCTTGTTTTTGCTTTAATAAAACCTCCCTAGTCTCGTCATAATTTATTTTAGGAACAAAAGTGCTCTATTTTCAAAAATGGACGTTCAATGATTTTCAAGATCCAGAAGAATTTCCAGGAGAAACGAATATAAAGTATTAATAATGTATCTGTGATAATAAATGACGTTTTTTTTTTTTTTTTTTTTTTTTTTTTTTTTTTTTTTTTTTTTTTTTTTTTTTTTTTTTTTTTTTTTTTTTTTT